TGGCGTCTCAGTCACCAGGATTGAGTGAAGCTTGGCATCTTTGGCGCGGTTGGTGAAGGTGAGCCAAATTTTCTTGGGGATTAGGCTCGGGTTCATTTGTCGTGCCCGAGAGATCAATGGTTTTTGTCTCAATTTGGGTGGAGCAGGTCGGTGTCGATGGACTCCGAGTACGCAGCGTCTCCCAATGATGTGCTCAACGATGCCATCATCCGAGCATGTCTGGGGCACCATCGGCGAGCTTGACACGGAAGAGGAGTGACACACCTAGGCGGTTGGCGGGCCGCGCCACTTGACGAAGTGAATGTCGATGCCGTGGCGCTTGGCGAAGCCTCCATTGCGAGGCCCTGCTGCAATGATGACGATGATGGAACTTGATGAGGAACACCTGAGGGTGATGCCTGGTGACGACCACCTCGCCTTGCCGGAGGCGGAACTCGTCACGGATGGCCGCCTCCACCTCCCTGGGACCGGTGTTGGGTGGCCCGGACATGGCCTGAGAGGCAAGCTAGTTTCCTCCCACTCTCGCCGGCTTGCCTCAGTGGCAAATGAGGTTGGGATGAGGCATTCGTCCTCATCAGGCCTCGTCTCTGGGTCTCCGAGTCTCGCCATAGCAGCTTGTCCCACGCGCGGCGGCGATGGCGGCGGGGGGATCCTCCTTGCGGCGCGGCTTTGCAATGTGTTTGCTCGGCGTTAGGTGCCAAATCGCTTTGCAATCTCTCTCTCTATGGCCAAGCCAGAAACAATGAAGCGTGGATGGGGGTCTCGGCAGGATGCGCACGGTGGTCGAGGAGAGGCACTTGAAGCACTTTCCTCGGTTTTGAGGTAAAAGCGGGCGCTTGGCGATGTAAATGCAGACCTCGGTAGCGCGGCAGCTGGCCACGAAGAGGATGCGATGCACGATTTGACGACTGTGGCGTTGCGAGGCTTGAGAGTTGACCCTTGTTGCGGCTTGCGCCACGGTGCTTCACCACGGCCTCGAACCACTCTGCTCACTGAATTGAAAGCGCGCGTTGGGGAAGTAGGCTGCGGTGCGGCGCTTGTGGCAGGTGACGGGTCGTCATGGCGGCCTCGGGAGCGCCGTCCGTCGCGGAGCCGAGCGAGACGGCTCGTCGCGAAAAGGCACGCCCGTAGTAAGTGCATCCCCTCGGCGTAGTAATGGCGATTTGGGAGGGCGCGAGCCGTTGGTTGACGGTGTAGGTGCGCCTTCATAATCAGAGTTGTGCCGCTTGACGCGATGTCCGCGTGGGAGAGGGCTGAGGATGCCGAGAATCCGGCGTGTTTGGGATCAATGGTCGTCATCCAGCGCCGGCCGGCGCGTGTGGATCGATGATGGCGGCGGTGGGGTCTCAAGCGGAGGTGCGCTCGATCTCCCGGCGGGCGCTGCTCTCGAATTCGTCATTTGCACGGAGGCACGCCGGAGCTGTTGGGGGTGACCGGGATGGGGTGGATCTGCGGGATGGGCTCGCCAGCGGCGGAGGATCTAGGGCTGCATCAGGGCGGCGGGGGCGGGTTCCGGCAGCATCGCGGGGGCGCCCCTTGGACTACTTGTTTCAAATCTTGTCGACGGGCTTGCTCCTTTGGCGGCGGCCAGCGACCATGTAGGTTGGTGGAGGCCTTTGCATTCGCTGCCCCGCCGTTGCCGCCGCCGCCGCCGCCTTCGCCTTCGTGGTCGCCCTCGGTGGGCATGGTCATGGCGGAGGCGAAGGAGGTTTTTGCAGGGGTTTAACCGGTGGGCGGGAAGAGGAGCGAGAAAGCGTGGGGATCGATGGGAGGAGGAAGTGGCGCGGCCCAACACCTCGGCCACCGCCGCAGATCGCTGCCCCTCCGACGCTCTCGCTGGGAGAGTCGGAGGTCTGACAAGCAAGCGAGAGGAAGGGAGCGGAGAGGAGCAGTTTGATTTAAAGGTTGCTCCACTATAATTTACGAAAGTATATAGAACAAGAACTTAGCCTAATGACCCCTACGATGATAAATAATTTTCTCTATAGTTACGATATGTTAGAAAAAATGAAGCTATCTCCAAATAATGTAAACAATTTCCGAACAGTCATTTTGCATTGCTCATGGCATAATATTTGACTTGTTTCTCACTTAACTATTAGGACGATGGCTATGTAATGTACCTTCTTGCAATCTATGACACATGTATTATTTAAAAAAAGAGAAGAATATGAAAATTAGAGCATTTAATATTCCATGCCATAGCTCGATTGAAACATGCACATAGAAGAAAGATGACTTATCAGCGTGTTAAGACCATGACTATAACTACTTCAGAAATGATTTTCATTTGGATCGGAGACAATGTCTTTTATTTCCAGAGGTGACACATTTGTCCAATTGTCGGGAGAAGCTCAAAGCATATGCCCGTCTCTGAAAATAGATTTTAGAGACGAGCACCTTAATTTAGCCGTCTCTATAAATGGGCATTTACATAACGGCCATGTTAAGAGGCATGTCTCTGGAAATCCCGAGAGTAAACTTTTTCTCGAATGAATTTGCCAACTCAATGTGCTTGGTTCGTCAATGTGTATGGGATCCATGGACATGAAAACCGACGAGATGATGTCGCAAAATGCGACGGCAGCCTTAGGAATGTCAGTGTGTATGTACGTAGCTCGTTGAGCAGTTGTCATGCATAGAGATCTGTGTATCAGTACATGAGTGTGCCTTAACGTGGTTGAGTTAAAAAAAAACAGACCGACAACTTTCATCCGCCGGTGGGCTAAATCGCCACGCATGATCGAGGCCGAATCCAGTCACAACTCATGAGGCACTAGTAATTAGCGCGCGCCCTTGCGCGCAGCTGGCACCAGAGTTTTTTTTAGTAAAAGTACAATTGATTATAAATAACGACATATGAAACAAAAGTACAAAGTAGATCCGAGATGTTTGAAGATTACAAAATTAACACATTAATAACACTGGTCATAAGATAGCTGACAACCTAAAACACATATAGGACTACTGAAATTTAATCTATATTTAAAGATATGTAACATACAAAAAGAACACACTATAATTCTCTTATCAATTGATCAATATCACTGACATTGTTGCTGAACCACTTCATGCAAGGAACATTATAGTTCCTTTGTCACCAAACAAAATCATTGATACATCCATCACAGAGAGCATTCTGCAACCAAGGAAATTGTCTTATAGGCATCCATGTTGACTAATCCAACATCCTTGCAAGAAGCATGCAATTCTAAGATTTTTAGCGTGTTCGGCTGCCCTCCATGCCGCTGGCTGCGGTATATAGCAGCCTGGCTGGCTGCTAAAGCAAGCTGCTGGACGCCAGGCTTCCATGCAGACTACTCCAATATCCTTGCCGTCTGGAGGTAAGCAGGTTAAAAGGCTTCCATGCAGACTACTCCAGGCTTCCATACAGACAACTACAACATCCTTGTAAGCATCAAATGCTAAGATTTTAACTCCTCTTAGCCTGCTTACATATCGTAAGTAAAAAACTTGAAAGACTATTGGTATGTGTAATAAGCAAAAAAAAAGGTTATGTCTTGATGCCTTTTAGATTTATTTATTTCAGATCTGGCTGAGCAGGAAGCATACAATCTAACCTGCACCACAAAAATACTAACACTTCAATGTCCTTGAGCCATACCAAGAACACAATTTGCTAAGTAAAAAACCAAAGTACTATTGGCATGTTTAATAGGCAGAGATGTTTAATAACCAGGATGGATACGACTATGATAAGACATAAGATGCATGTGCCCATGAAAATTGAATGTAAACTGAATTGTGTATAAAAAGAAGGCTTTAGAACATCCACGTTCTCCTTATATCTGATCTGATATGCATATTAGAAAAAGGCACAGTGAGTCTGGTGCAGGCCAGCTACATATGAAGAATCAAGAATTCAAGACAACGATATATAAGGCACAATTTATATATGATACCTGCTATTGAGAGCTGACTATGGACCTACAATTCCTGCCTGCTCCACCTGCCTTGCAGGATGCAAGCAGCTATCCATTGCCAGGTTGCCCGTCCTAACCTGCAGGCTGCATCACTGCAAGCCTACAAAAATCCAGGGTGCTAGCTGCACCATGAGACCTAGCATTAGAGCCAATTCAAAATGTAAAATCAGAAATTATGGATGCACAGATGTTGTAGCTGCACCATAGAAACACTAATTTCATAGTCATCCTCCAAAATGCATAGGTATACTGCAGCTACTATATAGTTTATACATCTACTGAATAGAGCAGTCAAAAGTTATGACAATTTTTCTCTAGAAGAATGCTGAAACAATCAAACTGAAAGTTCAAGTATCCATGTGGTAATGTCCATGCGACAGCCACTATAAGTGCATTTTGTTTGTATATCATGCAGAGGAAGAGGAAATGTATGTCATGATTATAGAGTGCACAGAATTATCTGATATGTCTTATGTAGTCGTGGTAAAATTTAAAGTTCGATAAAGAAACAATAAATGTTGTGTGCCTAGGAACATCTTGTTACATGAACTGTGACCGCAATTGGGGTTTAACATATCATTGTCAATCATCTGGCTTGAAAATATACAACCAACTTATACATGGTGACAAAGAATGAACAGAGCCAAATTCTCTTTAACCCAGAGTATCAAACTATACAAGAGAAGAACAACATCACCTGAAGGATAGGGGGTAATGTGATCACGACCAGCAGGTAAGAATCCATAGTCGCCAAAAGATTCTAGAATGATGGTAAGTCTCTGCATAAGGTGTATATTAGAAGCCATCACGGTCCGAAATGCTCAACCTTCTTAAAAATCACAAATTCACTACAACAGTGATAGATGTATGTATCAGCTAAAGATTCAATGTAATGCGAATGCCTGATGCTAAAGCTCTCTCAGGTGGACAGAAAGCCTAGAACTGAAGCATTCAACAAAATGATTTTTTTTACGCATAGGCAAAGGGCGAGCCTATGGACCGCCCAAAGGTCTATATTGCATATAGAGTCTTCCTGAAAAGTTCATTGATCTTCTCCTATTCTTGGCGATCACCTTCACCACATGAACCGCCACTTAGCCCTTTTATTCTTTGGCTTCCTCCTATTACTGCAAGCATGCAAATATGCTCTTATTGATTCCATATAGTTTGATGGAAACAAAGATTGGTTTAAACAAAAACAGAAGCACCTGGTATGAAAGGGATGGAGATCATACCTGATGCATGCAACCACAAATCACAAATGCCTTCTCTTCGTACCTCAGCCATAACCTGCAGGAAACTAAGGGGTAATAGAACATTAAAAAAAATAGCAAACGGAGAACTACTTAACCTTTCATAGCCAAGATTACAAACACATGGCGTGCAAGATCACATGCCAAATCTCATTATCCAACAGATCATGTTCGAATCACTTTTGTATGCCTGCAACATCCACTCATCCAGGGCCACAGCACAGTACAGACCTTTTGCTTGAAGCCCCACTCTAGCCTCCACACAGGTGTTGATCCTCTCCACCTTCCCATGCCGCTGCACCACTGCTGGGGCTGGGAAACGATGGTGACCAGAGAGCCATTCGCCACCTGCATCATCAAAACCAAAATATCTTCCAGGAAGCAGGGCCGCGCGCTGGAGCTAGATCTTTATACCTCACATCCATAGCTACAAGGAGGGACGCCACACGCACAGCTGCGACTTCCTGTGGTCAACGCCGCCGAGCACGGGACGGGAGGAGCCAGAGGAGGCGCCGACGCGACGCCCACGCGCACACAGCTGCGGGCGATGAAACTTTTGTGGCGCGGGAGGCGGGGAGGGGACTCCCGGCCATCGACGCCGCCGAGCACGAAGCGAGCGGAGGCGGTGACCCCCCACAGAAACCGCACCTTCAAAAATTGAGTGACAACACACAAAGAAAGTAGGATTCAGAATAATCAATTGAATAACGAAACACAAAGAAAGTACGATTCAGAACAATCCTCTCCAAAAGAATAATGGAACAACCAAAGCACGATTTGCAATAATCAGACGCACAAGATTATACAACTCAAACACAAATCACCTGCACCTCCATTTCCCGCCCCAGCTCCCACTACGCAAGAAACTTCGCAAAACGAAAGCAGGAAAAGGATGCAGAGAGGAGAGCGCTCGCACCTGAAAACGGCCGGAACGGGCAGGCCCAGTTCTTATCCCCTGCGGTTTCTCCTTCCAGGAGACGCCGGCGACTGAGGCCTGCGCACGATGGGGGCCTCCCGTGCCGTTGCGCCGCCGCATCGGACCGCCCGAGCCAGGGCCACCACGCCGGCCACCCGTGAGAGGGAGCGTGAGCGAGGCCTCGCCTGCGCTGGGGGCCTCCTGTGCCGGTGGCCGCTGCGCCGGACCCGCCTGCCCGCGCCAGAGCTGCTGCGCCGCTGCTGAGAGTGAGGAAGAGTGAGGGAGGGAGTAGAGGAGCAAGCAGCTGCCGCCGCCTGCCATTTACATGAGAGAGAAAGAGGAAGGAGCACCATTTTACACGAGAGGACCATGGTGGAGCCCACATGTACTGCTCAGCCAACCATTGCTCGACAACGGCGGAGGGTAGAGCAGCTGGCCTGCAAAAGCGCGCGAACTCTTGGCGCGCTCGCAGTAAAAGCCCGCGAAAACAGATGGCGGCCCTTTTCCCCAACGGAGGCGGAGCTGCTGCAAGTACGGCGGAGCTGCCCAGCGCTCAATCCAGATCCGGCGCCCTACAGTAATTTTGCTGCCGTGGCCGGGGCGAGGCCGCGTCCAGGCCGGTGGTTCTAAAGAGAGTAAATGTGTTTCGCGAATATACTACAATATCACGCAAATCAACTCGCACTGAACTTTGATTTAATTATATATGTTATAATAAAATATAACAAAGTAATAGCACATGAAAATAGGAAAGTCGCCTTGTGTTACAATAATCACTGAAAAGCCAAGGTCTGAAGCATGCAGCGGCATGCTGCTTCCATTAGTCGATCACCAGTCAAGTCCATCGTGAAAAAACCGCGTAGGGAGAGGGAGAGAGCACATGTATAAGCCTTCCACCCCAATTTTCAAAAAATTGCTACAATATATGTCACATCAAATGTTTGCGGTCTTGCATGAAGCATTAAATGTAGACGAAAGAAAAACTAAATGCACAGTTTGGTGGAAAATTACGAGACGAACGTTTTGAGCCTAATTAGTTCATGTTTAAATACTATTTATCAAATAAAAATAAAGATGCTACAGTAGCCCTAAAATCCAAATTTCGCGAACTAAATAAGAGCTAGGACCGGGGACGACACCTACTCGAACATTAGCAGCGCACCAGTCAGCACTCGCCGCCATTGCCAAGTTGAAGCTCAGCTCCTCACGTACTCTTCTCATTTGCCCCTCACTTTACTTATTAGTTGACTCGCAATGTATGGGCAAGCACACCAACTCCATTCGCCCTGCTCCACGTCATCCTCGTCATCATCTCCTTCCGAGCTGGAGGTGTTTCCTCGAGAACATTGACCATCACGAACCACTGCGGGCACACGGTGTGGCCGGGCATCCTGTCCAGCGCGGGCTCGCCGGCGCTGGAAACCACGGGCTTCGCGCTAGAACCGGGCCAGTCACGGTCGCTGCCGGCGCCGCACGGGTGGTCGGGCCGTCTCTGGGGCCGCACGCACTGCTCACGGGCAACTGCGGCTCCGGCCGGCTGGACTGCGCGGGCCACGGTACCAAGCCGCCCGCCACGCTGGCCGAGTTCACCTTCGACGGCCACGAAGGCCTCGACTTCTACGACGTCAGCCTCGTGGACGGGTACAACCTGCCGATGCTGGTGGAGCCGCACGCACCGCCGCATGGCGGCGGCGCCAACTGCCTGCTGACGGGGTGCGTGACGGACCTCAACGCCGCGTGCCCCGCCGAGCTGCGGGTCGGGGACGGCGGCGCCGCCGTGGCGTGCAAGAGCGCCTGCGAGGCGTTCGGGACCGCGGAGCACTGCTGCCACGGGGAGCACGGGAACCCGGACGCGTGCTGGCCGACGGCATACTCGCAGTTCTTCAAGAAGTCGTGCCCGCGGGCCTACAGCTACGCGTACGACGACGCCACCTCCACCTTCACCTGCGCCGGTGGCGGCACGTCGTACGCCATCACCTTCTGCCCGAGCACGACAAGGTGATCGATGCTGCAAATTCCTCTTAGTTAGTGCTGAGATTTTATCCATGTGCAGGGTAAGAATGTCACTAATCGTCTGGTTTTTGTTTCATTTTTTTAACTGCAGTGTCAAATCGGCGGGGACAGATCCGCAAGTACGAGCGACAGTCGGTGGCGGCCGAGTGGCGTCGTCGTCGTTGCGCAGCATGCAGCTAGTTCGCTTCTTGTTTCAGCCAGACTTATCAGTTAGCTAATAGTGTTTTTCTCTCACAATAAATCAGCACCAGTCGAGCTTATCAGCTATCAGGACTTATCAGCTAGTCAATAGTGTTTTCCTCTTATAATAAACCAGCACGAGTCGAACTTATTAGCTAATTGAATCCAGCTTTGTCCTCGTCGGCGTCGCCATGGCGGCGCTTCGCGTGTCTTTTAATTTAAGAACTATCAACCGAGGAGGGAGGAAGAGTGGTTGCACATATGGGAAAAGGGAAGAAATAAAGAGCCTAGGGGCAGGCTGATTCATCCCATTTTTTCTTAATTTATTTGTTATAATCTGGACCATCCAGAGATTAAAAAAATCACAACCGAGTAGTCATCAAATGGAATGAATTCATTGATCTCTACGGCTTCATAATCTGTCACTGTCGAGTGTCGTCCATACAATAGAAGCTACTGAATCAACCTTTTCACTTTTCCATATCCAGACATCACCTGTGCAAGTAATCAGTCCTATGTATGATGAGGTGATCGAATCACTTACAGCGTGTTTGGTTCATAGATTGAGCTCATTCGGTATGAGTTGCTCCCGCATGCAATTAGAATGGGTTTGTCCGTCTCTTTTCCTGGAAGGGTTGTGCTAGCACCCGGACTTCCGCATCCAGACCCCCGTGCCGCATTTCGTTTGCCGCGCTCGGGCCAGCACACCGTACCCCTCCTGAGCGTGCATTTCACACGCCCACGCGAGGCCCACCGTCAGACCACGCACAGGGACCTCTCGTGCCCCCTCGATCCACTTCTCACGCGCATTGCAACATGTGCAACACTCAATCTACTTTTACAATATCCAGATGAAACACTTGTAACATATGTTCAAAACAGTTGAAACACTTGCAAAACACCAAAAAACTTGAAAACACATGTGTAGTCACTGCAAACATATGCAAACATTAAGATGAAACACCAACAAACGTATAAAAAACACTTGAAACACTTGCATATATATGCAACATCCCGATCTAGTTTTACAACATTCAAATGAAATACTTGCAACATATGTCTGAAACAGATAAAACATTTGGAACATACACTTGAAACATATGTGTATAGCCCATTGCAACATGTGTAACATCCCGATCTACTTTTGCAACATCGATATAAAACACTTGCAACATATCTCTAAAACATCTGAAACACTTGTAACATACGCTCACAACATGCGCTTTGAGCGCAATGTCACCTTGCTGCTCGGACGAATGAAGGCTCATCATTACGAAGCTCAACGCCGGAGTAGAGGTCGACTTTGGCGCATGGAGCTCACCGGTGCGACAGCGGCGCGGGAAACTCGCCGGCGAGGTGGCGTCACACGAAGCTCCTCCCCTTGCATGCTTGCTGGAGCATCCAGTAAGGCAGCGCGAGCGCGACGCCGGAGACGAGGAGCCACGTGGTGCCATACCCGAGGAGGCACGCGCCGGCGCCGGCGAGGAGCAGCGCGGGGTGGAGCCGGTTGCAAAACACCCCCAGGGAGCAGGCCAAGGTTCTTGACGACGTCACAGGCGACCCCAAGCAACGCGAGGTGGCTCTAGGCGGCGCCGAGTGAGACCTTGAGCGCGTGCGAGTAGAGCGCGAACTGGAGTTGGTGCCGCCCGTGACCTGCACCCACGCGGCCACCCCAGCCCAAGCCATGGCAGCCATCTCCCCGCCTTCACGGAGATCGGCCCTCGCATCTCGCTCGTTGAGAGGAGCACCAGAGCAGCATGCGCGATGTACAGTTCAGCTGCGAGGCTACGAGGGAGGAGCAGTGCGTGGTGGAGACAGGGCCACGTATGTGCATTTGCCACAGGTAGGTTTGTTTTGGGCCGGTCCACAGACCCAGCAAGCAAACGTCCAGGCGAACGAACGTCCTATCCAAAGCATTATTGTTCTTGTAATGGACCTCTCCTACAGAAGCAATATGTGGAAGCTCTTCTTGCTGGATACATCGAACTCGCACTGCAAACCAAACAACGCCGCATCTAGGTTCGGTCTCTCCATCGGATGATTCCGGATGGATCGGAGTGACCCCATGAACCAAACGCAGTGTTAAGTCTTCGGGTCATTTGTACCTCCTTATCCTCATGTATATATAATAACCATAGTGGACGCTGTCATGATGTTGCTTGTGGCACTGCACGATGCAATGTGTTTTGGTATTAAACCCTTAATATTAAGCATGTTGGTAGTTAATTAAGTGTGTTATTACTGCGTAATGAGACGCTTGCATGTTAAAATTATTTGTACCCCCAAAATGTGCTTGGGCTGTCATCTGTTCCAGTCAGTCTGAATTATACTACCCATCTTTGGTAATGTAGCACCTATACGTCCTATTAGAATGTAACGAACCCAGTTAGTATTTACTCAACATAATGACTGATTAGGATGGTTCTTAATTCTGAAGAATTTGTATGAAGTCTTAGTATGTAGACTAGAAAACAAAGCGCGGCGTTGCCGCGCGGCTGTGTGGAGTGTCCGTAGTTGTGAAGCCAGTTTTGATAATGCATTTCAACGTTATTATCTAACTAATAATGTGTTATTAGATCAGAATAAAATCAAGAGATCACGGATCTCTCCTGCAAAGCCTGTCATCACTCATCAGCATAAAAGAAGGGTCAGATGATGCAAAGGAAACATGACGTAATTTTCTGCCAGAAGCTTTAATAGGGAATAAATAGCAGCAGCACAATTATAATTAATACAGGAAAAGCACATGCACTGAGTGCTACTGATGTTTTTGCCTGAATATGCTTCTTTTGTTTTGGAATGTTCTAACATTTAAAATAGGTGATTCCATTAATAAGCTTGCTGAAAAGTAACACGTGGCGTTGCCGCCCACCTGAGTGGAGTGCTGACTTTTTTTTTATTTTGAATCTGAAAATGTTGTGTGGCCTAGGCGAGGTAAGGTGAAATTGTAAAAAGGAATCAAAGATAAAAGTTGAGTAAATAAAGAGTGAGGCCCGAGTATCTGAGATTCTGAGGAAGATGTCTCGAGGAAGAAAAATAAAGAAATAGTAGGAGAGTACACAAAAGAATGTGGAGTAACCTATTGGTAGGTTATTGTTAAGCCGCAAAAGGGAGCTGGATATGGCAGGCCTCACTAAAATTTGCATTTCACATTAAAATAAAATATGGAGTAACCTATTGAGTAGGTTAGTATAGAAAACACTATGGGCTGGTTAAGCCACAAAAGGGAGCTGGATATGGCAGCCCTCACTAAAATTTGCATTTCACCTTAAAATAAAATGTGAAGTAACCTATTGAGTAGGTTAGTATACAAAACACCGTGGGCACATAAGGGAGCCTGGATATGGCAGCCCTCACTACAATTTGCATTTGACATTAGAATAAATTAATAACCATGGCGACAAAGCCATAAAGCATGAATACTGACATGAAGGAATAACTAATAAGTCCTGAGACTTGATAACTCAAACATTACAAGTAGTTACAAAAATAAAACTACTGATCAAGGCATACTCATCTGAAATCTTCTCAGAGAAATTCAGAAGGTCAATAAGAGAGAATCCATTCCTATCATATAAGAAAATCTTGAAAACAGGCCACTTCCGGAACTTGCATCAGAAGCTTGACATCAGAAGCTTGGTTACGTGAAAATAAACAGGACTTGTGGCACAGCATCAACGGCCTGATAATTGCAATGAGCCTAGCTTGGATGCAACAAGCACATTTTTTTCTAGCATGGCTAACCCAGGTTACTACCATACAAAGTACTGAGTATTAACTGACACTGATATAGAGCTCTTGAGTAAAAGAAAGGGGGTATTAATCAAATTTATTTTTCTCGTGGGGATAGATATTTGACAAATGTAATTGAACATCCTTATGCATACAACATAGTTAAGTAGCAGGACCTCTCTTTCTAGGCCTGGGAAACTACCCCATATGAAATATTGGGGTCATTTAGTAGCTGTCAAATTTTGATGATTGAATCTTCAAACTACAACATCATTAGCAGTTATCAAGTAAGCCTCAGTTGATGCCATTGTGAAATGTGAATTGGCTGTAGCTCAAGTTGCACGGCAGTTCTTGATCAGCTGGACCACAGTATTGGTACAAAATTGCAAATGCAAGAGCAGGACATCCAATTGAGGAAAATTTTCAAAGCAATATAAGGAAGCAAGCCTTTGGGTGGCTACTGAAGGATGGAAAGATCATGGAGTTCTGCTGCAAAAATTTGTTCCTTTTTTTTCTGAAACGAGCACAAATGTGCTCCTTATCAAGCAACAAATAGCACGGCTGGATATACTCGCTGCTGGGCCAAATCTGCATGTCTGCCCTGTCGCATCATGGCTGCGGCGGGTTCCCAGCAGACCGGCGCTAGGGAGGGAGACACGGCGGGTGCAGCGGCGGCGTCCGGGCCGCGTGTGTGTCCAGTGGACCCGGACCCGTCGTATCTTCTTCCTTGCGTGTGTTGCTGCCCGTGGTTGAGGGATGGCCCCAACTTGCATCACTATGGAAGGGCCGAAGTGGTCAGGCCTGGGACGAGGGCCGTGGCGGAGGGAGGTGTGGGCGGCGAGGCGTACGAAGGGAAGAAGCCGGCGGGCAGCGCAGCTGGTTCGAGCATGCTTAGCGGCGTCGTGAGCAGCATACCGCGGTCCCCGGCCACCATGCTCGCCCGTACTCGACGCACGTGCCTGTCCCCGTGTCTCACCGCCCTCGGCTGGGCGCCCCCGCGTGGCCTCGCCGACCTCCCCGCCCGCGCGAGCGAGTTCGCGAGGATTAGCCGGAGGAGCATGGCGGCTCGCGGGAAGTGGGGAAGGAAGGGTGGCGGTGGCGTTACTGCAGGCGGCTTGGGTGAGGCCGATGGGCCTTCGAGAAGGAGAGCAGTGCGGCCCGAGGCAGAGGGACGGAGTGCTCAACCGAGCGGGTTCAGGAGCATTCGCGTGTGTCCGGGTTCGCGGCTTATCGGGTAAGACACCCGCTACAGCCCCGATCCAACGGTTGATATTGCATCTTGGCCGGATCGGACGGCCAGTGGGCTAACAGGCGACGTGGTCCTATCCATTAGCTCGCTTTTGAGAGCAGGATTCCTATATAGAGATGGGTCCTAATTTTGGGGATCAAGGACCCAAAGTGAAAGCATCTAGGCCCTTAGTTGGGTTTTGATGATTAATAATTACACAGATTATTGTGAGACTAGCATGTGTTTTGCAGAGGCATTATGAGTTAGGTCACGATAAAGATGTTTGTTTTGGCAATCAATGGTTTTCATGCCTCTATCGATGGAATTTGTTCTGGTTCTTAAATAATGGACAACGAGATTAATGACGGACTAGTTCTGAGTGCCAATTAGAGTTAGGAGACACTTAGAGTAGTTTACTACTTTGTTTTTTCTTTGGCCATACTATAAATGGGGGTTTGAACTAGTAGCTTAACCTAGGTGAGTCTAGTGAGTTAGTGTGGTGCACACTTGTAAAACTTAGCACTAGTTAGCTCAGAGAAAGCCCAAGAATCAAATGAAAGTAGTGCCATTCACATAGATGGTTGAAATGGAAGTGAATGGGCACTCAGTATTAGCACCGGATTAATCCGGTGCTTGTCCCAGAAGACCACCGAATTATGTGCTATGTATACCAGCTAGGGTTTTTTGAGGGGTGACCACCGGATTAGTACGGTGATGTCACCAGATTATGCGCTACAACAACTGAGCTTGAGGGTTTCTTTGCAGAAAGGTTTTGGTGTCACTGGATTAATCTAGTGATCAAGACTATGTCATCCGGTGTGATGCAGAGAGGTTCCAGAGAGAAAAAATGACCACCAGATTAGTTCGGTGATGGTCACTGGACTATGTGTTACTATGTTGAGGTTCAGCATAGTAACATCTAGTTTTGGAACTAACCGTTGGAAAGGGACCGGATTGATCTACTGCTGAGTTCAAGCAACCCCTGGATGATTCATGACCCCAATTTCAGTGTAGTGGGGTTCCAATCGCTAGCTCTTGGTGTTGGGGCTATTTATACCCCCTCCATCTCGGCCATGGAGGTTCTCTTGCCACTTTGAACAGTTGGTGTAACACATCTGGTGTCACGAACCTGCTTAGCACATAGGTTAAGGCCTCGGAGAATCTAGCCGAATGAGTTTTTGAATTTTAACAAGTTAAAACACATAGGCAATGAAAAACAATTTCTGTAAACAAAAACAAAATATAACGTATGTATAGTGCTTATGTAAAAATGGTGAGCAGATAGTGTAGATAAGAATACAACTTTAATTTTGGAAAGTGAAAATTGTTAACTAGGGTTTTGGGAGCTCAAAAATCGAATCCGAAATTTAAACTAGAACTTTCCGTTGAATCGACAAGAAATTGAACTTAGGTTACGAACGTCATTTTTGGTGAATTATATTGAGCAAAATAGTTAAAAGGTGCTTAAATGTTTTGCTCCTATGGGTTAGTATGTAGTATGGGCTATTGAGTGAAATATTCATTGGTTGAAATTAATAAGGTTTAGACATATTAAAAATTGCAACAAAAAGTGCTAATAGCTGTTAGTTCTAACCGAACCTTGCCCTCTTCTAAGTCTGGAAATGATAGTAGACAATGTCGTTTTGACACTCAAATTCTAACCAAATTGTTTAAACACTAACTTCATGTTCTCGTACTGTTGGTTGCCTCTAAGTGAGTACTTGAGCATGTCTTAGGTGGTAGTGGTGGTGGGTGACACGATACCCTCACGAAAATTGCCCGAACCTCGTTAAAACGTGTCAAAGTCGTGTTGTTAGCGCTCTATTCGTGAACTGATGTTCAGAGCGATGAGCTCACATTGGCATCCATCTACCTCCTTCCCGGGTGGTCCTCTGGTCATGGCGATGGCGTTGCTAGGTCGTTGGCAATATGGACTTTACGATAGGGGAGTTAGTTGAACCTAAACTATGATCGTTAGTGACTTTTGCTACGCTTTGAAATGTGTGCACGTCACCTAGGGCAGCCGTTCGGACTGGGTTCGTGGTCACCGCGGGCATAGTGTGGTGGCGCCGGGGTCATGTCGCGACCAAGCCGCGGTCGCCGGCCCGCGCGTGTGCCAGGCCTATGCCGCGCTGTGGTCAGGTCTTGCGTGGCCCGACCCGGCTGGCAGTGGTCTAGTCACCTAGCCATGCTGTGCGCGCACCAATGCTAGCCACCGAGTCGTGTGCGGGGTCATGGTGGAGCTGCGGCTATCACCGTCTTGCCGTCATGGCGCTCGCCCCACCTTTCATCCTACCTACAACGTCGAGTCTCTGGACGTGTGCCACTACCGCCGCGCTTAGGTCGACGACCCTGGTCACTGTGGTGACGAGATGTTTCCCCACCTTGTCCACTAGCTGACGGCGGTGTGCCCCCGCTCGGGTCTTGTCGCCCCATTCAAGCGCGTCGCACCAAGCCCATGAACCATCACTAGTGCGCACGTGTTTGAGCTACCGCCATCAAATGGAGCCGCCCCATCCTAATCTGCTCACCCACGCTCTCATGCACTCTCCACGACATGACCATGGCTAGAGCTCCGCCTTTCCGCCCTCCAATTCGCCTAGCTTAGGGCTCCACAGTTCGATTCCTCGTACCAGTAGGTGGCATAAGAAGGCAACTAGGCGTCCCATCTTCCCCATGCTCGGTCAAGCGCTACCGACCGCCAATTTAGCGTTTTGCTCGCCGCCAGCCATGGGCGCCGCCACAGCCAGTGGATCGGGGGTAAGTCCCAATCCATAATGAAAGAACCCAATTGGTGGCGTTTCTAGACTCGTGTTGATCCACTCTAGCTGGTGCTCGTGATAGGTTGGTTTGGTTTCTTGTCGTGGGTGCGGTGATGTGACAGTGCCATGCTCAGAGAGCTGTCGCCCGCTTGGTCGCACGTGGCCAGACCACCCCAGCGCTCCCGCGTTTCAACTGTCATTGGAGCGTGCACCACGGTGAGCTACTGACACTTCTCCGCCACCTCTACCCTTCTGAGAGTGCGTAGGTTCGTCGGAACAGGCACGCCGCCGCCGCAGCTAGCCACTCGCTGCTACCGCTCCCGATAGTTTGCCGCTGAGTTTCCAACCGCCATTCATGCTTGCGGGTTTAGCCATAGATGGTGGTCGGTCCTTTATTCCTATCGCAGCGGGTCTAGCTCGCCCGGCGTAACCACCGTTGCCGCCGGTGTGCCGCATCATCGCACGCGGGTACACCGGGGACCACCCCATTACAAAGGTAACATGTTCCAAGGTCCTTAATGTAAAACACGTCTCTCGTGCAATAGTGATCAGAGGCGTCGCGTAATAACCGGTTAGTCCGGGGGTCTTTTGCAAAACGCGAGCGCGTGCGGGCCTTCCGATCTTGGGACACGCTAGGCCATCACGACGTGCAATAGTGTAACAGGTTGTGCCCCGCGGCCAATGGGGCTTAGCTTGGTTACACTGTTTTCCCTATTCATATCGATTAAGGACTGTCCGTTGCTGTGGATGGTAGTCAGGTCACAGACTTATTATTCTGAGCACATACTAGGTTATGGGAGCGGAAAGGCTCGTTACGCTCTTGTCGTGGGTTCCGGCTCTTTCTGGATTGACTGATTGGAGGCAGGGAAAGGTGGAGGTCTAAGCACCATACTGAGATCGAGTCTCAAGTGTGGGGGCTTGGTGTCCAAGTTTGGATGGGGACCTGGACCCCGTGACAGAAGTGGAATGGGTTGGTCTTGTTTCTGCCTAGGGTACAAATGGGGCGTGTGTTTTGGAGTACCCAGCTAGGATACATTGGTTCGCGAATCACCGTTTCTGTGAAACGGTATGACTTGGCTATGGTCTAGCACCGTAGTAAGAACTAGAAGATGAAAGATGGTGAAATGGTTCTGATTGCTTAACTCTTGCTTGAATGTAGAACAGGTGCTTAGCTAGAATGGTTAGCTAATAAAATAATCATGACTGCTAATTAAACTTGATCTTAAGACTACTTCTAGTAATGCTTTTCGCAAACAAAAAGAAAACAACAAACCCATATTGCCTATCATATCCTTGAGAGTCGGGAAACTATTCCCACTAGTCGGGTAAGTCTTGCGAGTACATTATGTACTCAGGGTTTATTTTACCCCTGTTGCAGGTGCATCTTGAGGAGTAACTCTTGTGTGGAGGATTTTGTGGCAGAACCGCCTAAAATAACTCACTTCCGGAGGTGCTTGTCTTCCATTGGACACTAAACACCCTAAGAGTGAGCTAATTTAAACAGTTCTGTCGAGCACACCCCATGGGGGAACCCAAAAATCCACATTTTCAACAGGATCATAAATGGGAGAATAAAGCTTACAATATTTTAGCTATTTCTTACATCACTTTCCATGCAACATCAAAGTATAATATTTATTGTTTATAACAGCGGAATATAACCATGTTATCAGAGTTTCAGCCAAAATAAAATCATTTAATGACAAGTTAAACATTAACATGATGATCCATTATATACATCATAACAGGTTATAAGTTTTTCCATTGTAAAACATTTTGGGTGAAAGTTTCAAATAAACTCTATGTCCGCAACGTTAAGGAAATCCTCGCTGAGCCCACTAGGAGATTCCCCCCATATAAGTGTTAGCTCTAGCATCCACCTATCACCTGCAACAGGGTAGAACAACCCCTGAGTACTCAATTATACTCCGTAAGACTTACCTGTCAGGAGGAAAGATAAGACTACAAGGATATGCAAGGCTATCTGGCTTGTGGGTTTATTGCATCTTCAGGAGCATTACTAAACGTGCATCCTTATATTCAATTTTATTAGCAGTTATCATTAGTTCATTATCTAACCATTCTAGGTAAGCACCTATGCTACTTTCAAGCAGGTGGTACGCAATCAGAACCATTTTATCACCTTCCAAGTTCCAGTTCTTATTACGGTGCTAGATCATAGCCTAGTCGTACCGTATCACACGACGATTCGTGAATCGATGTATCCCAGCTGGGTACCCCGAGACAC